GCTGAACTGTTTAATATGAGAGAAATCTATGAAAAAAAAATAAAGCTTTTCTTCCATGTGATCCTACTGCCATTTGCAGAAATACACCGTTTGGTCTGAACCACCAATCAGAGCCAGGAGGATGCTGTCCTCATGTCTGTGCTGCTCAAAATTGCTGCTTTGCTGCAGTTCTGCTAATAGCGTTACATCTACAATGTCTGCCGTAATGTTCATGAATACTTTTGGCAAAGATTATATTGTGAAAACTGATATTTAACATGGAGAAGAAATTTGAGGCGATTAGCTTGAAGCTAGTCTGGTAAAACTCTTGTTTGGCCATGACATGTAATGTGCTAGCTTGACCGTGACGGAAGCTACATTATGATGCTTACTGGAAACCATGTGCACAGTACACAACCATGCCACACTGCAAAACGAGAAATTTGATAGAGTTTCTAGTTACAATAGAAGTCACTTTAAAAAACAAAAGCAGAAAAAAACTGTCATGCATCCAGGATAAGACCACATATGTCAGGGGAACGAGTTTGATTTAAAACATTTCAGCTGTTTAGACTGTCAAAAACATCTGATATGATCTGGTTTATGTGACTTTTGCATGCTTACTTTGTATACATGTTCTCCCTGAGTAAGGTTTTACAAATGCAAGTGCACTCGTTCTTTTACACAGCATGTTTGCATCTGCATGCGTGTTTGGCAGGTATTACCAGTTTAGCATTTAACACCTGTGTGCCGGCGCCGCCTCGCAGCCTCTCGGCCGCTCTCTGCCTCAGCGAGACGCCACTCTCTTCAACGGGACTGAAAATGGAGTTGACTCCAGCTGGGTCCCCATGAGAGTACACAGCACACACCTTCAAGGAGTATATTTCAACACTCCACATGAATAATAGCAGCACTTTGTATTGAGGGAAATGTTTTTTTTCTGCCCTCCACTCTCCCCTCCCCCCACCCTTCTTTCCTCTGCCTCTTTCGATTCCTTGGTAGCTTAAAGCAGAAGGGCATTTCTTTAAAGTAAAGACGTTGACCTTTACAAATAGAGGTGGACCACAGCTCAGGCTGCAGCTCACTATCTGCGTATCACCATATGGAAAAGATGCATTTATGCCACAAATAGCACAGGAGGTGCGCTAAATGGGCTCGCACACTCTCATTTTTCTCATCATCCCGCCGTTTTCCAGGAGTTTTTCTGAAGAGGAGTGGAAATTGGCTTAGAGAGTTTGATTACACAGGCTCAAACTTTTCACAACATAATCACAGAATGATGAAAAACACTCAAGTCATGCTTGAAATTCATGAGAAGCCTTTCTGCGGCATATGCAACTCAACGGCTGCCTGATGCCAAAGTCGCTTCAGAACAACGAAGAGGCGCCGCTGATGCCCCAGAGGTACAGCTCAAGAAGAAATTGCATACAGTGAGGCCATATTGAAGAACCTTACAAAGGTGTTCATACCCTTTGAGCTTCTATCTCATTTTGTTACATGACAATCACAAACTTCAATGGGATTCAATCTCACACACCAATGACCAGAAACAAAACAATAAGACATGGTTTTTACACATAAAAATATTTGTATCCAACCCCATTTGCTCTGATACCATTAGATAAAATTAAAATTATAATTTTCAAAGATGTTTACTACGACTCTGAGTACTGAGGCCATACTAAGAAAAATAAAATTTGTTTTTATTTTCTTTTGTGTTTGGTTTTTATTTTTGACGTTTTTAAAGACTCATTTTACGTAGAAATTAGCCTGGTAAGAACCGGCCTCCTGTTCTACGCTTCACTTCATTCAGAGCATCTGGGCTCTCAGTTGTTGAGAAACAGCTGTTTCTCAACAACTGAGGAGTGGATTCTTTTACCCAATCGCTAATGTTTGCCCTTATAAAGTGACAGTTCGACACTATGAGGTTTACTGAAATCACCTGCACTGTAAATAATCGTTCTCCACTGCGAAAGGAGAATTGCCAAGCTGAACAAGGCAGCTGTTGATTCAGTATCAGGAAGTATGGACAGACTGAACATCTTTGTTGACTTCCTCCGTTGCCATAGCTAAAACTACAGGAAAACTACAGTTCTAAGAAATCAGTGCCATCGTTCACATTTTAGATAGAAAATCTATCAGAGAGAATCCAAGACAAGGGGAGAAAGTCCAGACTGTGTTGGAAGTGAGATGATTTTTCAGAGCGGCATTACACAGGAAGGCAATGCATAAATAATATTACAGAAAAAGCAACCGTGTGCAATTTTTTCATGGTATATTTTGGCTTCCTTTCTCTCGTCCTCTACAAAAGCTCCGATCTTAGCTGTGTGCTCCATAGAGCTTTTTATTTTTCCTTTTTTTTGTCATGGTAATGTGGAGTTTGAAAGCAGAAGGGCGAGAGGGCAGGTAAGAGAAAAGGAGATAAATTGAGAACATCAAAGAGACGCTCGCCTTTTCTTCCTTGACCATTTTCAATCCTTTCCCATCACACTCTTCACATGGGACAAACACATTTTTACCCACATTCATTTCTTCCAGCATCAAAACATTTTTTTTCTATTCTTCCCCATCTTTATTCCAAGCTTCCTTCCTCTCCATAATTTCAGCAGCAGGTCCTCGGATCTCTGACGAGGAGGAGGAAGAGGAGCAGGAGATAGTGGGCACCTCTCCAGGGTGTCCTTTGGATCTGACTGAACCACCTGGGCTCACTGCACTTCACAGAAGACAGACAACACACACTCAGAGAGGTGCAGAAAGTGGGAGGAATGGGCCAGCTGGTGTGTGTGTGAACGCAGGTTACGAGACACGTAAAGCTCTATGTCGTTTCCCAATGGGTCTCCTTTCAAAACACATTCCGTTCTTTAGTCCATTCAGCTACCCCTCTTAAATCCATCTTTCTAATTCAGATGCTGACTTCTAAATGCTCACACACTCACAAAATGCTTTATCAAATGGCACAAAACAGACACATACAAATACACACACAAAGTGCAGTCCACCGCTGAGCTGCACAGCGGTTGGAGAGCAGAGAGATGTTTGGATGCAGTCCCATTGTTTATTGGGGGGAAAGCAGTGGAAGAATGATGCAGAGAGCCACTCATCAAACCACTCCACATGTTCGGCATTCCCCCTCATCAGCTGGACAGGAAGGCTTTGGATTTATCACCTTCATAGAAAAGTAAATGTGTAAACAGGCCACAGAAAACAAAGAGGATGACCTGAGGCTTATTAGAAAAGGATCACAGATTGTTAAAATGTGATTTGCTCTAAGTAGACTTTGTGTCCAACTCTTAAGGGTTTTGTCACACATCATAATCCAGTAGACTCTGTTACATTGGCAACCAGATTTGCAACATTTGTTACATTTTCAATTGGTGCGATTTGCTTTCACTCTGCACTGCGTCAAACGAACCAAACCTGTCACCTGTGGTGGCACTGCAAAAACGAACTGAAGGAACCAACATAAAAACCTCTGAAGAATACAAGAGTGCAACTTCCTTTTTCACAAAATATATTTTTAAAAATTGTAGGGGCATCAGATTTTAGTGGTTGCAGGAGTTTTCTTATGTTGTTGGTAAAAGACGAGTCATTGCTCCTGCTAGTGCTGGACTTCTGTGTCTGTTTTGGTTGTATTTACCCGGAACGTTCTACACTATCGTTCACTTCCTACTTTTGGAGCAGTCTCCGGCTCGCTTGGACCCACATAAAAACTGCCACAGAGTTCACTACAACTAAACCAAGACCCAGATTTGTAGGTTGACCAGAATTTTCTTTTTTGGTCTGATTACACATTCACACCTCTCCAAACAAATCAGACCTTATAAGCAAACAGACTAGAGTTTGATTAAAGCAGAATAAACAGCTCTGATGTGACTGCATCTTTTGTGTTAATTTATCTTGTAAAGTTACAGTTTACAGGTGTTACATCAGTTATTAGTATTAGTAAAACAGTTTACTGAATTAGATGACGCTGTTGAAATGCTCTGCATTTCATACTTTTTAATGAGGAGCTCTTTGTTTTACATATAGTGTTACTATGGGCACTATTGTGTGTATGTATAAATGGTATATTTCATAAAACATTGAACAAATAAGTGTTTCTTTGACATCTACTTCCACTTCAAGATTGTGACAGTGAACAACTCCCCAAGAGTACAGAGAGCATATACATCTTTTAAAAGCAGTGTAACATTTTTTTACACTGCTTTTAATTTTTGAAACAACATGATGTGCACATACATCCTCTGGTATGTCTTTTACTTTTACATATCATAGAAATACTCATGGTGGACATTAAGTTTGCTTGTTTGTGGTGCTGTGAGAAGCACAGCACCACAAACAAGCACTTTTTCAACAATTATTTAACAAATGTCCAACAATATGTCATGATTTTATTGCTATCACAAGCTCTATATAAGATGACAGAATTTTGTGTCAGGGCAGGTGGAGAATGGAAGAAAGGAAATGAAAGCTGCTTTGTGGCATAGCGTCATTTTACAATGAGCAATGTCACCTGACACACATCAAACTTTTTTCAGCTCAACTCTACTTGCCGCAGCTTCCACAACAATAAAGGTAACATTAATGCAGTCAGCTTTTCAACAGCATCCATTCTTGCGCACTTTGCTTTTGCTGAGAACAATCTCTTGACATGCAAGATCCATCAAAGATGGCATACAGTAACAAAACTGACCAGAATCATCTCCTTTCGTGGGTGTTTCACAAGCTCATCCATCACACCTCTTGTGGGTAGTGTGAGGCCTGGCTCCCACCAGAGGTGTCAGCCTAATATGATGGATTTTGATGAAATGCCTCCCACAAGGTTTTAGGTACTGTAGCTGTCAAGGGTCACACTATGGATGTCCATCTAAATAATCTACTGCCTCCTTTCTTTAATTATTTTACATTTTGTTTGCAGAACTTAAATTTATGTTTATGTTTAAATTTATGCTTTGCAACAAACACGATTCAATGACTTGTCACCAATGATGCCATTAACATTTCTGTGATTTATCGAAGACCGAAAATGGGACAGGAGCTTGGCTGGTGTTTGGGATGGTCGGTTCACCCAGGGGCAGGTCTGGGCGTTAACATAAGAATCCTGGGTCTGACAGGGTATCAATACAAAGCAATTTATGGAACTCCATGAAGAATCGACCTTCTTGATAACAGGCAATTTCTCTGCTCTGCTGGTTACCATTGCCTGCCGTAGACCGAATGAGAGCTGAGAGAGGTACTGTTGAGAAAAAATGATTATTTTTAGTGTTTAATACAGTTTAATCTTTTTGAACAAATCTTTAAAACTTGA